TATACTAGTTGCAGCTGCAACTTCTTAAGTTTCTTCCGTGTGGATTCACTTTACTTACTTGTTTTTCCTTCAGTTATTGTATTCGTTGAATTTGCTGAAAGAATCATTGCAGCTACCGCATCTGTAAGGTAAAATATATAAGTGCAGATATTCGGGGAAATCAAATCGTTTTGATGAATGTATTTTGTACACAAACGTGAAGTACACTAGCTGAAGTATGCAGCATTACATGCAAAAGTAAACTAAACAATATGCTTTCGGGATATAAAGTTTTTCTCTATCACGTTGCTTATTTGCTTAGGTCAACAATTGTATCCACATCAACTTCACTGCTTGTAAATTGAGAAATTCCTAGACCCTAGCAAAGGGAGTTTTATCAGTGCACGAACCCAAATGCGTATTCTGCCCTCAGTCGATTGGTGGATTAATTCTGGTAGGCCCGTCGCACGGCCCTCTGCACGGCAGTACCTACAAGTCAGTGAACGCTTTATCACATCTTGAAAGTTTCGATACGCCTTTGTTATCAACCGTAGCCAGTAGGTCGAACCAGGTAACAGTCGTGTTACTGGTGCGAAGCCTACACATGTCAGCTAGAATGCGCACTGCTGACGATTTCCGAAATGATGAAAGGGCCGTATATTGTGTTTCCTGAAGTGTGTTGGCTGTATAACAGGGTATATTTGATTAATTTTCACCCATATGACCTTTTAATTCTAGTAACATCCATATAGAGAAAATAAGCTTTTTTAGATATACGTTACAGGTATTCAATATCTGTATGTCCTAAGCAGTTGACACAAATTTATTAACGCTTGCTGATGTCACTTTGATATTTGAGTTAATTTTGTGGATCGTCATTTAATGTGTAAATGCTATTTAAGCATGCTTCGTCATGGCGTCCAGCTGGTATTGTTTGCCAGCCCCATATGTATAGGTCCTCAAAGATAGTTCTAAATGCATTAACTTTAGCTAAAATGAACAACTTTAATGCTTGATTACATTTCTTTGTTTAATCTAAAACCGTTTGCGGGTTCATTTAGCAAGGGTGTAGTTTTCGATGGTCTGACTATTTCAAAAATCGCTCAAGATAAAATAAACGTACGTAAGTGCAGACAAATAGTTAATATCAGATGAAATAATGTGACTCATGTGTGAATACCACCATTTATCCTCAATCTACTAATTAGTTGAGAGATTTGTTGACAAGTTCAAGCAAGCATTACTAAAAGCGTGAAGGACCGTCCTAGGGAAGAATGCAAACAAAATTTTCGCATGGTGTTGCGAATCACTCCACATCCTACGTGTAATAGAGGTCACCGTCCGAAATGCTATTATGCAGACAGATCATGTCTGTTGGGACACAATTATTCCGAACACAAACAAGTGGCCGACTTGAAAATTACGGAATTGTCACAACACCAATTTCGTGGGACTGTGCAAAATCTACCGATCGGTGTCCCTATATGGGCAAGAGATTTTCGTTAATCCAAAAACAGATGGGCTCCTGGTGTACTTACCAGACATATGGGTCCAGACACCTACTAATAGAGTTCCATGACGAAACTTGGCATCACTACTGGAATCAGATCAGACCCCGCTTTAGAACTAATCAATGTTAACAACACCTGAATCCCGAGTTTCATTTGAAATAGCACTGGAGAAGTTCTCACTGACGAAACTAAAAGACGCAAATCCCTAAGGAAGAACATATTGTGTGATTTTCTTTCAAAGGATGCAATGCGGCGGATACCCTGTCCAAGCGTTTGAGAGACGCTTTTGAAAAAAGCTACTTCGCGGCTCGCCTGCTCATAGTATTTTATAACAAGCCTTTATCGCTAAACCGTTTGAAAGTCAAACTGCCCCAAGAGACTCGATCAATGTTCGTTTATATTTACTCGTGCTCCTGTAAAGAACGATACATGGGAAGTAATACGAGGCGTCTATTTCATAAAATTCGCCAACACATCAATTGCAGTTACGCAGGGACCGAAAATAATTTCAAAGTCCTCTATGTTATCCTGAGCTTTTCTCCTGCAAATTTCGGATGCATTTAAGGTCGATTGCAGATGCTATCGCCATCCACCAACTTAAGATAGCATTATGCATACGAAAGCAGTTTGTACCTTCTTTACTTCTACCCTGGCCTACAAATGCTGCAGTGGTTTCCCATGTAGCTAATTTCCGTACTCAATTACCCCGTGAGTTATTGATTTGTTCCTGTCGGAATTAAACCTTTTGATTAATACGCAGCTCCATTCGACACATGTATCACTGTGTGGTGATCATGTAATATTTGTGTCTGATGAGAATTAGCAAACAGTGTTCTTCACTAAGATTATGCCTCCCCTGATTTCTTCTAACAAACGGAAGCCTAACTCAAATGCTGCAGATAATCCGATGACAAGTATCCCCGATCCACTCAGACGGTGCCAATTTCCAGCCAATCATCAGTGAGTTTGCCATTAATGAACCGCAATACAGGCAGAAAAAACACGCAATATATAGGGTCCACACTTAGTAACATAGATAAGCAGATAAAAATGATGGGAATGACGTAATCAGGACCAAGGCAATCTAATTGGTTGTCTCAGTTGTTTCTGGGCACAGAGTATGGGACACTTCAATCTTTTCAGTAGCGCCTCGCCAATTGCCAACAACGTTGGGTTCCTGTTGCGCAATAGCACCTTGAATGAGTTGATTGGGTTCACCTGGTGACGAGTCAGCAAGAGGTGTTTGGAGATAGACGAGGCAGGGTTCAAATTCATTCTTTGTTTCGCTCCGCCTTGGTTAGACAACAACTGCCTTAGCCACAATGGGAAATGTTCCGCCACCCTTTGAGCCAGCCGGCGACCAGTCTTGCCTATGTAAGTGTCACCGCAACTGCAAGTGAACTGGTAGATGATGTTAGAGGCCGAACTGATTGGCGTGCTGCTCGAACGGATGTGGAGAGGAATCCTTCGTGTGGTGTGAATAAGTCGTAGTTGGGCGGTAGAGTAGGTGCGCATTAGAGCGGACCTGAGCTTGCGACCAACTTCATTTGCTAAGTGATCCCCCTTGCAGGGTAAGAACAGATAAACATGCTTCTCCGCAGTTTGCACGCGCAGCTTCTCTTGGGGGTCTGCTATGGGTCTGAGTGAATTTCTCCGGATGCCCATTAGCTAGCAAAGTCCGGTATAAAAACTCTTCTTCAGCCTTGAGTAATTCCGGACTGCATATCCGCCTGGCCCTGTAGAAGAGAGTTTTACAAGGCCCCGCTTGTATGCAATTGGGGAGAAGCTGGAAACATGTAGGTATTGTCCCCACAGGTCAATTTTCTGTACAAAGTGCGCTGTAGTGTACCATCGGTTCTTCTGTTGATGCGCACGTTCAGAAACGGCAATCTGTCTTATTTTTCCTTCTCCTGTGATACAGATATGTTCGGGTGAATTGAGTTCAGGAGAGCAGAAGATTATCAAAATGTTCACCATTAGTGAAGACGAGAATATCATCTACATAACGCTTGTACAGCTTGGCTCCACCTATGCAGGCAGCAACTTTCCTTTCACTCATACCTAGGAAGATGTCTGCCAGAACTGGTCCCAAAGGACTGCCCATAGCGACGCCGTCAATCTGTTTGTATGCCGTCCCTTCAAACTCAAAGCGCACATTCTCAGTACACACCAATGTCAAGCCTTGCAGGAACACTAGAGGAATGCCTACAGAGAGGTGCCGACTCAAAAGAAATTGGCATAGTTCGTCAATCGTTTCACGTAGGGGCACATTCGTGAACAGTGATTCCACGTCCATTGAATACATGAGCTCCGCGTCAAGTGTTGTTCGTTCCAGTATATTCACCAATTCAAAGGAGTCTTTCAAACAATGCGTGCTCAGGAGCTTACGCACGCGTTCTATGAGCTTTGCCAACCACCGGGCTACTTTGTGGTAGGGTGAGTTATTCATACACATTATTGGGCGTAGTGGAATTCCCATCTGGTGCAGCTTCGGCGCACCCCTCATTCTTGGTGTTTCCGTCCCTGTCGGTTTTAGCTGCCGATATTGTGACTCGGAGATATAACCATGAAGCAAAAGAATTTGTAGATGTCTCGTAATTTGTTTCTTCACCAAGATATTGTTGTCCAGCGTCTTGTCAATACGAAACTTGCGTCCATCTCCGAGAATCGACTCCATTTTTGCGGTGTAATCAGCTTTGTCTATTATTACTACACCAGTGCCTTTATCCGGTTAAAGGAAAATTACCTCCTTCATTTTCTGCAATTCCTTGATTACAACATAGTGTTTCGAATTCACGCAACACCTCTGACTAATAGGCGTGTTCTAGAACTGGTGCGCGATATCCACTAATTTTGCCCGAAACCATCCTGCATCATCCGTTGATTTCGGCGATAGGTCGCTGAGTTGATCGTACAGATATTCGAAATTAATCTGTGTGTGGATCCTGTCCACATTCCTCGGCGGTATTCGGTATTTCAATCCCAGCGAAAGAACCTCCAACTGTTCTCGCGTGAACCGAGCTGTAGACAGATTATACACATGCTTCTGGCCTTCGGCAGGGAAAGGAATTTTGGCCGCTCTCACAAGGGTACCTTGAAGGCCGTTCAGGGTCTTGATCCTAGTACGCTGGAGAGTTTCAGCAGAGAATGCCACAAATTTGTAACGGCAGACAATTGACAAGCCATTCAAAACAACCGCAACGTGTTCACCGCCTTATCGCAGTGTCGCAATTGAGGTGGCTTGACTACCTACTACGTATGTCATGGCAGCGCTTACCACGCAGCGCCTTATTTGCTCGCACTGGATTGCATTAGTAGAGAAGGCGTGGTGGTCTTCTAATCACATAATGGGAATTATGAATGAGCTAACCTTCTTAGATCAGTACCTCCTCCTGTTTGGGACCCAAGGATAAGTAATGCAAATGACTTCACATCCGGCGATATGGCGCAAGAACGGAATCCAGGAAAGGCATTTGTATTTAATTAGTTTGAACAATGTGATTAGAATTGTGTCATAAAAAGGTTCCAAAAACAAAAATGGTGTGTGAAAACAGACGAAAAACAAAATCTAAAATTGTTTGTTATCTTTCTGATCTTTGTGTTTATTTTTCTATTGTGTTCCTCAAGTTTGTTCGATGGTACATTTTTTATTTAGGATGATGCTTATGTATGTATGTAGGTATATATATATGGGCTCTAGAGCATCGCTTGGCTTTAAGGTTTCTCCGTATTAGAGCTCTCATCTTGTTAGTGTCAAATAAAGGTGTGTGTTACGGATATAGAAAAGAATGCGTTCGTAATTTCCAGCGGAGTAAACGATTTGTTAACAATATTATTCGGTTGGGTCCACAGCCTGGCTATCCTTCAACGGTTGATGCAGACAGTTCTAAGACGTGCAAAACAAATAAAAATCCTGTATATTTGGACGATGTCATCGTCCATGGGCGGACAGTCGAAGAGCAGTTTTCCAAATTAGCCAAGATGTGGGAGTGTCTCTCATTTACTGCTTTGAAGTGGAAGCTGTCTAACTGCAGACACTGAGGATAATGGCAAGATTCTAAGCAACCTGATCAGTGCATCTAGCATCCAGACTGACCAAAGTAAATTACCTTACGTATTGAAATTGCAAATCAATGATACTACGGAGGAGGTAGGAAGGTTACACAGCTGGGCTTCTTATTACAAATGTTTCGAAAAGTAAATGCTTGTATAGTTGTGTCCCTGCATCATCTTACTGAAAGGAGTCGGTTGTTCCACTGGAACTAGCAGTGTCAATTGTCCTTTAGACTTATTGAAGAGAAGAGTCTCAAGCGCAGTGAGTAGAAATATTCCGGCTGCCTACCCGCGTGTACTCAGACAGACTGCTCCCTTTGTAACATATCTGATGGACAAACGCCCGGTCCAATCTATATCGCAGGTTCTATATCCAATTACTTGTATTTGTGCTGCAATATCTATTGGACACTACCAGGTGTTTGTCGAAACGTGTAGCAGTACACTGTCCTGGGTCGCTGCGAAGAAACTTGCCTAGAAGCATCAAAAACACTATCATGTAGCATTTACTCCTGTGTGGACATGAAACCTTAATAACAGGCGAGTTCCACGTTTTTTAGTCCGAGCCGCCGCGTGACCTTAAGCCGCTTCGAAATTTTCTAGCAAAGTAGGCGGAAGTTATCGCTATTATGCTGATTCACCCTGATATGTGCAAGCAGAAATCTCTAGTGAAAGCGCTACTGTTAATTTGGCTTTGCGGCTGTTCCTTAATATTCCACACTAGCAGCGTTACAGCGCTTGTGTAGCCTCCCTCTAGTAGATAAGTTAAATTATTGGTCCAACTTACCGGTCTGGTTCAAACAGTAGCAGTTTTCTATCTAGCTTTCATCAGCATAATGCGTTGCTTATTTCTTCATCAGACTAGTAATGACCTGATGAAATTATTTGAAAAGAGCTTGTTTCGTTAATTGAACTTTTATTCCAACATGGGCATAATTCTTGAATTGCTTAGCTGGTTGACTCAACAGATGTGATTGATTTTATGGAATACACGCTAAATGCCGCTCCTTGCGTTATTTCGAGCTCCTTCTAGTGTGTTGGAATTGCGACTGCTTTTTCTCCTCGCTTACGGATGATCGCGCACCATAAGATATCTGATTGTGTTAAAAAGTTTTACGAGATGCAATTTCTTAGCGTCTCACTTCTGGACAAAACTTGTAAGCGATATATCTAGAGCCATCTGCTTCGAATATTTTTCTACATTTTTCCATTATGTTTAGGAAAACGATAACATCAATTCGCAACTAAGAAGCATCTTCCCTCATTAATCCGTAAAATACGTTAGATTGGAGATGAAAAGTATCGGAAATAACTGCGGCATGCCTTAATCCCTAAGGGAACATAGACTCTTTATATTGTGTTGATAATTCCGCTAATCTCATCTAACTGCTATGACGTGAATTAAATTTACCAGTACTCGGAGAAGTTGATGGATAATCGGAAGTGGTATCGCGTGGCAACAACGCATAGATATTAATAAATATTTAGATGTTTAACGGGAAGATATGCTGTCTATCCAAGATGTCAAATTAGTATGACATGTTTACAATACATACTTAGTCGACACCTGTAGATATAAACGGTGTGTAAAGTGATTGCAGCCTAAAGAAATACAGATTATTATTGTTGAATTAGATAACATCTGTTAGCAAAACCCGGATGAAAGATACATGAATAATAGATAATAAGAATAATTTGCTGTGCTATAATGCTTCATTAAATCATCACAGTTGAGCACCAGCAACTATTGAAACAAGTATATTCTTTACCCTATCATCCATATTTTGGTTTAAATAAACACGCTTTCTAAAGAACTGTGTTTATCTTACTAGCAATATGCCGTGCATTAATCGTTTGGATGTAAATTTATAAGATGACGTCGAAAAGGTATTTAATATCCCTGATTCTTGTATAAGTTATGTCGGCTCCTTAAATTAGCTAAATGGAACTTCCATCGTTGATCCTAATATTTGAGTCAGGCAGATATTTTACAAAAGCATCATAGGGTTACTTGAATATTAATAGTAATTTCCGCATAGTTAAATTGTAACCACAATATCGCGTGAAGCGCCATATGGAAAGGATGCTAATACTAACAGTTTGGTTTTACTTACAAAAGCCTAAATTATTTTCTTCAACATTCAGCTTACCTTCTTTCGGCTGTGTAAACACCAAAATTACGAGTAACAATATTTGTAGGTTAAGCAGCGTCATTTACTCTAAACTTTGAGTCCACATCCACATCTAACGCGTATAATAAATACTTCGATGTAGCACACATGACATGTGATTTTGGGTGTGGTGTTTTCATCGCCAGACCAAGCACGTTTGCAATTAGTTGAACATATTTGGGCGTTCTGTGTGAATCACTCATTTGATTGGCTCAAACACTATACGAGAGTTATGTGGGGTAAATGGCACTGTTGTTAACTAAGTATGACGGACAATTTATGTGTCATATGGTAAGCTTGGCTGATTGCATCCCACACAAAACCATATTGAAACACAAATAATCTGGTAAATACCAGGAGGGTATACAGAATGCTAAGACTCATAAAAGCTTGTCTACAATCCGCTTATGTTAACATATTGCAAGTATGATTATATTAAAATAAAAGTCTTGTGTTTAAATAGAGAAGAACTAAACTTTTATGGATACTAAACAGAGACATATATATTTCAGATGGCAAAGGACATGACTATACGTCGCTTGTCGGTTGCTATTGCTATTTCAAACGTCAACCTCAGTAATTATATATGGCAGTTGGAACATTTAACGTGTATTTGATTATTTTTAAGCAGATGAATAATAACTTCTAACTGAGTGGAATTATATAATAAAATTTTCTGGTAAACACGTGCAAATTACTACATCCAGTACAGAGTATACTGCAAAGTATGTCGTCGAAGGAGCAACTCCCTGCTACAAAGTCAACAACGACCAACATAAGCTGTTTTCTGTGTCGTTTCATGCCGTCTAAATCGCTCTGACCAATTATTCCGACAAATTCGAAAAGTTATAAAATGCTCTTGTGACTATGCTAATTTTGATAGAACGGAAAAAATTTGAAAGACAAGAAAATTACAAATCCGTAGGGCGAGTGTATTTCGCTTGAGACACGCACACACTAAATGCTCTGATATTTGGTATAGAGCAGTCAAGCAAACCAATATTCCAATTATCTATAGTTTTATCTAAGTAACCAGTACTAGATTGGTTGGTGAATCTCATGATTCACAACGATGCATTTATGCCGTTATATGTTAGACTTGAAAGGAAATTGTTCCTTCTCAGCTACATCTACCTTTCTACAACGAAATATATAGTCCTCTTTATTGCTCAACGTGAACTATAAACATCACAATTTTGAGCAATGGGTGAACTTCCAATATGGCAATGTAAAGCTGTGAATATTCCTTACCGACGAAGATTAAAATATTTCATAGTATCAACCTTTTAAAACTCAGGTGTATATATCCCGCATAAGCTTTTCAATGCCAAGTCATACGCGTGCGCAGCACTGAACACTAAGTCTGATAGCATGCAAGAACCAACAATACTAAAGCAGTAAATTATAGGGTCACTCAAGCAAGAATGTTTTACGGGATCATTGATTACATAAATACGGGGCTTGCGAGGAACGCTATCACACGGTCGGTTAAATACATAACGAAAGCAGATGCAAGGCATTGCGAATCCATTATCGAGGTATAGAGTTCTAAATGCATAAAATATCCATGGACTCATGAACATTAAGTGTTGAGGTGAGATTTATGCTTATTTGAAAGTGCGGTATTGTGCACTCCATAAGTACGACATGAATGCCATAGCTTCAGCTGAATTCGTGCCAATTTTTGTCATCATCATTTATGGTGTCATGCAACTGTTCGCTAATAATTCGAAATAATTAGTGAAATTAGGCTAAGCCAGCACTGCTGCAATTGCGAACATACGTGCAATTCGCTCGCTTGTTCGTTCGTGGTTTTTCCCTTTGGTTCAGCGGCATTTTGTAGCACACCTTTGGATCTATACTCAATCGTCATGCTTTTAAAACAAATGGTGATCCTATTTTCTCAAGTACACTCCAGTAGATTCTACGTTTACTCTGAATTCTAAATTCCGCGCGGCATTCACCAAAATCCAAGCTCCGACGGTTGCCTACCTCTAACCATATGAGACATTGTTTGGTCTCACTCGATGGACCATTTCAACGGCTTTCGAACGAACTGTCACTCCTTCACTTCAAACGTTGCTTGGTGCGGCTACAGGTCTCAAGATAAATTCCCCCCGAGTGATTCATAGGCATAACCAAGAAAATTCTCAACCACACCGTCCTATAATCTGCCACACACGCAAGCTGACACATTCAACTGGTACGCCAGATAGGACAGTCTGCAAGGACACAACTGCAAAGTGAAGTCTTTGACCTTACCGACAACGTCAGTAACAGAACAACTTTTACCATAGAGCGTGAGTCACTCAAATGGTTCGTAACAGTTGCTTAACAAGCGCGATGCCCAGTGTTCTACAGTCTAAAGACCTAGGTGGATCATGTTCCAGACTTGTTAAGGGAGCATTTTGTGCCCTAACTGTTGCAACTTTTTCCATGGGAGATGCATCCGAGTCAAACCTAGTCAGGCCAAGTTATAAACAAACCAGAGTTGCTATGGTTTTGTGTGGAATGCACATCGATTCCACTGATAAAATAAGTGCTCCTGTTATTTCAGTAGTATGAACTGCTACTAGCCAAGTTTGAGGAAATGGTGACCACCAAAATCAATACGGTTGGGGTAAGTATAGCAAACTATGCAACCCAGCTCTCCCCCGTAAGGGCTGCTCCTGTTTCACGAAGAACTGCTAGTAACACCGTAAGCAACACGAGACCTAGAGTCCAGAACATCAACTGCTGTTCCAGTACCAAAATTGGCGCACATTTGGCTAATCGGTTCCCAGTTCGATCGGAGTACCAACGCTTAAGGCTACTTCCAAACTCTTGAAGGAGTGCGTAGAAAAATAGCAAGCCGGTTCTAGCGAAACTGGGGTTAAGCTTTTTTCCAAGAGACGCCGTCATTTAAAATTAACATCAACTCCAAATGGATCGGATACTGAGCAGCGTTGCAGAGTTTTCCTAATGCAAGCACCACCGGTTTCCTGTTGTGTATCTCCGAGTATTTCAATCACTAACCGCGACGTGTCGAAAGATGAAAAGAAACAACTACCTGTACTGAGCGTACTGTGCTCCAATATCCCAGATTCAAAGTTTACATCAATACGAGGCAGGCATTTGGATTAACTCAACCAGTGGGATATTATTAAAACCGTATTTGGAGTTGTACTAAAACCTGTACACGTAGGGCGTATTGCACGACACCTTAACTCTAAGCTTACTGGAGAGCCAAGATTTCTGCGCGTTGTGCTGAACTCAATCACTGAAGTAGAATCAATATTACTGTCGACAGATATTCTCAGAAATGAACACTGCTCTATCCGTATCTTTGCACACATCCCATGAGGCGAGCACCATCGAGCTAACCGCAGCCTAGAGGACTACCGGAAGGAGACTTCAACAAGAATCATACTTCTTCACGGGGTTCCTGAAACTTAAGCCTGTAATGAGCATGAAATTATAATCTGTGATAAAGAACAGTAGTGCTATGTTCGTGAAACACTCCGCTTGGATAATTTATTAGCGGAATGCGTGTCACGGCTGTATACCTAGGCGAACTACAAAGAAAGTGACCCGAGAGTGTTGTAGGTGGGCTTACAGTCAAAATATATGATGGCTGAGATATGTTCCGTGCCGGCTACCATCTGAGGTTCGGCTGAGAACAATCAGCGATATGTCTCCTAGAGATGATTTGTCACATAAAGAACCAAACGCGATGGGATCTATGGAATAACAATGCATCAGTGTGTGAAATGAGCGCATACAACCAGTAGATGACACAGACCAGACTCCTTGAACTGCACCTAGCAGATTAGACACGGGACTAACTACAAGGATGATGAATAAGAGGTTAAACACATCACCAAGTACACATAGAAAGCAGTTAGTCGCATGCCACTCACCGATCGGCGAAAGTTCACGGATGAGTTGTACAGCCTCTCAAACATTGCTAAAGTCTGATAAACTATCATTTATGTACATTAACGCCCAAGGGCTTCTCAGTAAACGTACCAAACTTCGGCTAAGTCCGCTTGGGAACGTATGGGACCTACTTTCTTTTACCGAAGCTTGGTTACACTACGAGGTGACTGTTGCGAAGGTTGAGATAGGCGGAATGTTACTCATCCGGAACGACCGACCCAGCAAAAGAGGTGGGGGTCCTAGTCTACTGCTGCAGCGATGTGCAATGTGTAATAGTTGTTGATCTAGAACACACCTTGCAGACTCACTCTGCTGCCGTCTCCGACTAAGACCCAACGACGCATCTTTCGTAGCTGTCGTTTACCGCCCCACAACGTTCAATCCGAAATGGATTCCTGCTTGATGCGTAGCCTGAACAGAGTAAAGCACACTATGTACAGCCACATTCTTATCTGTGCGGACCACAATCTACACGACCTGGAAGTATCGGCATCGTCCAGTGAGCAGTTCAAAGCAGACTTGCATGAATTGATCACTAATATTCCCTTGTACAATCATGTCACCAAGCCCACTACATTCAGGACAGCAAACAAACCGTCCACATTGGATTTTGTGCTCAAGAATAAAGAGATCATGGTTGACAAGTTATTGATGGATAGACCATTAGGTCTCAATGACCAAGTAGTAATATAGTTTAACTATGTGTGTTATGCAGAGTATCCATCTGAACACTAGGAACTAACTCATACAATCAGACGCTACCACGTATTAACCTACCTCATCGATGCAGTTGCTTGGGAATTCTCAAACAACAGTCCCCTTGGCAACGTTTGGACAGATTGCGTTAATAAACTCAGCGACATCATCAACAGAGCATCAGAGACCTAACCCTTCGTCCGGCAAAAATGCCTTCAATTCTAAGGAGCAGGACTAGAAAATGCCTGTCGATGTTGGATGCAGCATGGCAAGTTTGCAAGATTAACCCCGACGCAAAAACTTGGGGAAATTTCCTGACCCATCGCATTGCACCATTGCACTGTACTTGTGCATGAGGACAAAGTAACTTATCAACAGTGCCCAGCCAAAAAATTCCTGACAAATAACAAACTGCCATATAGGCTTGTC